TGATTGAAGTTCACTTGATAATCGTAACTTGCGTTTGAAAATGTAAAGCAATATGATCCAAAATCGATCGAACGTATTTATTTACTCTTTATCTACTTTTAGATCATAAATATTAATATTAATAATATTAGGATTTCATACACATAGTTCCTACTGATTAACCTGATTCGTTTTTTCCTCAGTAGGAAACCTTCGTTTGAGGCTTCATGCCAGCCGGTTATTATCACCACAACATATCTAGAAAATTAAGGAGACTGATCTATTCCTTGAAGTCCGAACTCAACTAAAGAACGAAGACCAACTTATTGAAGTATTCAAATTACACACTACATTTGTTAAATGTGAAAAAATACATTAAATACACTGTTTGCACAACCTCCTTGAATTTCATCCTACAAGCTCTATCGTTCGTTAATTCCTGATGCTACTCAGACTGCTTTTGTTTTTATTCCCCTTCTAATTATCGTCCTCTACTGTCAGTAAGGATCCTACCTAAGACTCCCTATACATACTACTTATATCCGTCCGTGTAAATAGAACACACCACATTCGCCTTAGCCAGTCAGAAATTCTAGAGACACTTGGATGTCCTCATTTTAGGACAGAGATTTTTATATTGATTGATCATTGCGTAGCAAATTACATGTTTGCCTAGTCTTTAGAGCTGATAGAATCTGATCGACAAAGCTCTGAATACTTCCAACAGATGAACATCAAAGCTCACTGGATCCAATGTCAAGTCATCTAGATTAGTGACCTCACTACAAGTTGACTTATGGATTTCGATAAGCTCTAAGGAATTGACAAACATGACACTGATCACTACTCAGTGCTCGACTAACGTTTATTGTTTTGTCTTTACCATTATTATTATTATCTCAACCATATGTTCTTTTTTCCATTGCGTTAGTTCTTTTTTTCATTTTGCCAATATGAAGTATGTTACAGCTAGGACTGACACACATTGAAACCTAAATTGAAAAAATGGCCAATAATCAGAAATCAGACAGTAATGCTGTGCTGTCATTTTAGTTTTAGGATCATTCAACTATGTGGAATTATCACCAAACCAAGAATTTTTCCAAAGACTCATATATTTCACTGAGAACCCAATATAACAGTGGACCATTGAGTTGACATTAAATACCTGAGATCCTTAACTGTACTCAATTCAATTCAACAAATACCTCGACCGTTATTAGTAATACCTGTTTTACACTTGATATGACTGAGCTCAACTGAAATGTCACGACTTATCTCTAGAGCTTAGGTGATCTACTCTCAAGTTAGTTATTGGTGAGAAAAGTATTACTTTTGCCCAGGACAGAGTGGGTTGGAGAATGCTGGTCGGCGGCCTACGTTCCGTTGGGAGTAACAGGTGTAAGTAAGTAACAAAGTAAAGTATTACTTTTAGTTGAGTCCAGTAATTGCTCAGTGTTCTACAGTTACCGACCACTCCTCAGCTGTGACAAATATCATCACAAAAAACGTACCTCCGTAGACTACTCAATTAAGTAAGTTCAGCGATTTACGTAAGTTATCATTCTTTGTGAACTTTTTGTATTTACGTGAATAAGTTCAATATTAGTTATGTATTTCATCTTGACGTTTATCACAGCGAGGCTAACTGAAGAGCTAATGACCAATGCTCATCTTTTATTTTTACCCATGATTAGGTCATATAGCTAAATGACAAATAAAACTCAATCCTAAATATTGATTAAATAATGTACACATAAATTCATTTTTAATTAATTAGTGCTACATTCAAACAGTTGGTCAATGGTACTTTTCAGTGTAATCTATTTCGTCGGGAGATTCAAGGATCAGTTCTATGGACAAAATAAAGACATAATTATACAGTTTGTAGTGTCGGTTATTATGTTAAACCCATATACCTTATTCTAGCTTTCGGATAGCCCATTCTATTCATTCTACTTTAGTCACATTCTGACCTTGTTATTTATTCGCTTATCGATCTTGACTGTTTTTATATGAGCGCGTAGGTGCGTGTATATTTCTTATCCCACTACTCATCACATGTCTGTACCTTACTTTTGTGTAACTATAACTATTGATTAACGCTTGGTTAAAGGGGTGTTGGCTTACCTGCCATCTCCACTCAGCATCGTTTCTCATCTCCGGATTCCATTCGCTTCATATACAAAATATAAATATTCAAAAGTCCATTCTCATTATTTGACTTATCTAAATCCGTTATTGACTAACACGATTAAAGTCGATGATTATATACGAGTATAGGTGATAAAAACATTCATACGATCTAAATGGAGTCAGATCCACGGCCCACTAAAGTGGAGAGCCCTTTTGACAACATCGTTCGATCTAAATGACGACAAAACTAAAGGGCCTCACAAGTCATTCTACTTGTATTGTAACATTTAGTTCATCCATCATAACGCAATTCAGAAAATAATATGAATCTGCGGTCAATACGATAGCAAAGCCAGTTACAGAATCAATGGTTAGAAGTTGCAGGTAATTTTCAACCTGGCTATAAATTGGAAGTATTTAAAATCAAGATTGGTATGAAGTTGAGAGAACCATTGGAAACCTATGGGAAAATTGAAAAGCTGTTTTGTCTTATTTTAAGACTTTCCAGTAACTTTTACTCAATGGAATGACTCAGCCCAGAACCTACAGGTGATACAATTAACAGGATATAATAATACTCGTTTCATTCAATATCATGCATTTATCAGTATTGAGTTGTGGAGATTGTTAATTCTGTGATTGAGATCATGAACCGATTGATGTTAGATCACCATTGAAAACCCGGAAGCACTGGACGGCTGTTTCGTCTTAGTATGGGACTCCTTAGCAATTTCCATCCACGATCCCGCACGTCAGATTTGAATCCAGTACCTTCAGTCTCGCGCGCGAACTCTTAGCCTGTAAACTACTGAGCCGGGATCCAACGGTGTTAATGCCTAACTTCAACCGATCCACGAAATTGCGTGACCATCTTCTATTGTACTGAGGCAGATACCTGTCTCTACCTGACAATGACAAGGAGTCGCTAATGTAATTTATGAAAAATTGCAACCAAGTTCTGGTTTTATAAACATTTAACTCATTAGTATTAAAAAATTATATGTAAAAATATTTTAAACAGAGATTAGCTACTTTTCACTTCCTACCGTAAATGTTTAAGACAAGTTTTGGGCCTGTGATATCTTTTCACCTTTAAATATATTTGATATATAAACTTTATGATACTTGCCTATCGTTTATTCAAGGAAGAAAGGGACAAGTAGTAGAATGAGGAAATTTAATGGACCATAGGATAGTATTCCTTAAATTTCTCAGTCATTTGGATTCTGCGTAGGTTGGTAACACTTAACGAGAGTACTTAATTATGTTCGTTGCTGACAAAAGTTTAGTTAATTTTTTCAGTTCTACAACAGGAAAATCTATGGTTTAAAAAAATGAGTGTTTGATGGAAAAGTGGCTCAGATATTTGATCCAGACGTGTAACAACATGCATATCAATGAATTAGGATAAATTCGAGAAAATTTCGAACGACGTAAGATGTTACTGCGGCCTGAAATTAGTAGTAATTATTTTCTGGTGAATGTGTGAGGGTATGCAAATTTAACCAATAAATAAAAGTGGATTATTGGTGCAGTCGAATTTGTCAATTTCTTTTTGATCTTTAGAGATATCCGCCTAAAATCCCCAAGAAACTCATGTGACATTTTTCACTCCTTCTTTTAGACAATCAGTTTGTTATAAATAAAGTTGGTAATAATATTAATATAAATATGCATTGCCACAAGTTGTTGCTCTTCACATCAGCACAATGTGCGACAATTTTGCAGATAAATGTCAAAGTAGTCACAATTATAATAGTAGTGATAATGATAGTAAAAACGTAGACATGGAGTTCTAAACTAACGAGTAAACGTCAGGGATTAAAAACTCTCCAAATGTTGACTACCTCTCGAAACAGCATACCGTCAGTTAATAACGTGGTTAACAAATATCACGTTTTATTTCGACAATCCCAGTCTTATTTTAACCCATCTCTATGCTAATCCTTATTGCATTTCGTGATAGATAGTGGTTGAGCATTCAACAATAGCATCCATTTTGATATATGAATCATGGTTACGTAATCTAATGTAATCACAGTTATAACAAGAGAATTTGTGGATAAAGGAGTGAGTTCATTATTAGTCATGAGATTTTGTTAATTTTCGTTTAGTCTCAATAAACTCAAAACCCACAATTTACATTTATGAATTGATGAATATATCCCTAACACAAACTAACTGACTTACTTAAAGCGTTATTCTTTTGTATAAATAATTACAAACGAAGGGTACTCTATTTATGTAAAATTCATTTGCACTATAACTAACCAATCAAATTTAAGTGTTTTTTTCGTGCACACATGTAATGATTGGTTACTTATCATTTGTTCACCTTCTTTTCTACTATGTTACATTACTATGTAATCTGCACTATAAACTGTTCAGTTAAATTTGTTCATCTATCTGTCTATTCATCTATCTATCCATCCTAATTGTTTTAATCTTCAATAACAAACAACTTGGAATTCACTGATTGATCCAAAAACAAATGTATCATATCTATCTGACCATTGTACTAGTGTACACCATAATAACATAGAAATACAAAGAGTGAACTTCTTTTTTTGTAGATTACATTCTAATAGTTAGTTTAAATAATCAGTTCAGAGGATCAGTATGCATTTCGTTTTCGTTAATACTATTTATGATAATCTGAGCTGTTGAAATACAACTAAAGGAATCATATCATTATTATCATTATTATTATTAGTAGTAGTAATAATAATCATATTAAGAGATAAGCACACATACTCTTTCATATAATATAACCAATTTTCGACAATTCCTTTCTTTGTGTTTCTAAGAGAAATCTCTAATATTTCTTGTCACTTTGAATAAACAAAACAAAACAAAAACAAACAAATTTTTGTTAATAAATAATTATGACTGAAACAGCCCATACATCCGATTCGGAAATGGATGATCCGAACAAAATTACAGGTCAGTCATTTTTATTAACGTATATAATAATTAATTACTGTTCGTCTGTCTATATATATATGTGCATGTGTATGTGTAATAAGTAGTATATTAAAACTTTATCATCATCAACATATTTATTATTTATTTGATTCAGTCATGAAATCTGGAACAACTGAAAATATCCACATCGTTAGTTATCCTTTCCATTTCAGTTAGATAATCTTAGAACCAAAATAACGCGTTATTTCATGTCGGTCATATAGGTGTACTGACAGATCTCTCTCTCTCTCTCTCTCTCTGTCACATATATATTGAAATCTTCTCTGATATTGAAAACCAATATTAATGGGATTATTATAAATTTATGTGAATCATTGATGATTTCTGGGAAAGATATTTAGTTGCTTTTTTAAGAGTTCACTAGGCTTATATTCATCGTCATAATATCTAACTGTCAAAATGAATTTAGTTACTTAGTAACCATGACTCGAAATAAGTGATTATAATCCTTATCGGTTTGTATTATCCTTTTGTTGATAAACAGGATTGAATGTTTATCTGTTTTAGTTGGTATATGTGTGTTCTAAGTGAATTTGTCGATTTTGCCTATTTTATATTACGAGTTTCAATATATTTGGATTTTAACAACCAGTAGAACTTAAGACACTCGTTCCGCCGTGTTCCATACCTGTCAGACGCTTTTACCTGTATCTTGATGTTGATATTCCCTCATTACTTATCAATTCCAACGCACAGGCGTTATATGCTTAACTACTGACCTAAATTCACTCCTGAATATATACAGCGAGACAATACAAACCCTTATAAATAAAATATTGTATTCTTTAATCAAGTTAGTGGCTATCTGGTTCCAGTTTCTCAGTGGATTTTGCGTTGATATTCGAAACGATACGTATTGCGCTTAGTTTTTAACGTGAATGGCAACACTGAAATGAAATTTTATTTTTAATGGACAAGTTTTGAGTAGGTCGAAGCTAATGTAGTCGGTCCTACTGCTAGTCATAGTCCTAAATAGTGACAATGTTTTCTTCTACATGCTAAGTTGTTTCATATTGGCCATTAACATTTATTCACTGAAACCTATTGTATGACTCGTATGAGACTGTAGTTGTTCAGAAAGTTTTGTAGCAAGAGGCCATTAATTAATACCATCATGATTGATAGACAAACATGTAAAATAATATGACTTTTTAAGATTGGCATGTATACAAGGGTTCACGTAAATGTCATATATGTATTGTCTTCAGTAATAATGGAATTCTACTAATTAGCTTACACTGTGGTCATCAGTTTAAGGAGCTCGACATTATGTTTACTATGTTCTGATGTTAAAATTACACAAGAAGCATCCCTTCCCTGAAGACGGCAAATAGGCCTTGGTGATGAGTGTCACCTGACACAAAACCCACTTCTAACGAAGGAATCTTGCTAAGTGCTTCCTACCTATATACACCAGTCTTCGTCACTGGGCTATATAATTATATGTCATGTCATCGACACTATATTTCAGAAACAATCTCTTATCCAAGGAAAGTTAATTATACACGAATGATATATTCCTGTTTGGTGGAGACTCTGAGACTTTTGTTCACCTTAAGTAATAATGTGAGCATTTTTAGGACGCACCTATTTCTTTGTGAAATGTTAAGTTCCAATAACGGAATGCGAGGACGAATAGAGTCAATAACATTTTGTGCATGGCGTTTAAGAGATTCTCTTAAGTGCACCTACTTCTCTCTAAGTAAAAATTATCCTTCAGGACTTGTCTACCTTAACTCCTGAACTAATGATAAGAGGTGAAGTTGTTGAGCGTGTTCAATTCTTATCAATCCTGGTGCATTAGTGTCTGATGAAATTTGAACACGGATTCAGAAAACTGAATTGAATTTTGATAACTTGTGGCATCGGCGAAATATCAGTTTATAATCCAAAGAGCGAGTGTACGGAGTAGGAGTTCACTATTTTGTTTTGTGACTGTGAAGTGTGACCTTTACCAACCAAACATATTCATAAGTTGCTAGTAGTTGATCATAAATGGCTACCACAGAGTGATCAATGTTGAGGTTAAACACTGGATAGTAGGAAAAGATGGTTAATCAGTTAATGAGATGGTAGATGTTTATCGACTGAGGTGGATGGTACATGTATTACACACACTTATTCACCGTCTACTTCGACAAACGGTGTTGTCTGGTATAAGCGTAAGCTAGTATAAAGCTAGAGGTGTCAAAATAAGTCGTGGCATCAGTCCATTAAGTTATTGCCTGTTGAACTGAGTCATACATGTGTGTGTCAACTATGTGCTTAGGATCAATGCAGTTTTCGCTACTCATGTATCGCGACGTTGGATAACATGACTCATGATCTGTCTGAATGGTGCATTTGAATACAATTTTTGTCTCACCTTAGATCCTGAGTCACGAAACCTTGTATGAGTCCTCTTCTTCTTTCTCTAATCGATCTTTTTTACTAGTACTGATACCATTGCTTCTTCTGCTATTCTGGGATTCTTTTTCTTTTGTATGGAAACTTGAATTGATGCATGTGTACCCCGGGTTCTACGTTGTTTTTGACTGATATATATACCCTTATTAGCCCATTACTTAGCACTAGACAGTCATAATGTTCTAGTTCCATGCTTTTTAACAGTGCGAACCGACAATGTCATAAAAGACTGAACTAATAAGCTTCAGGTCTCTTGGTGAAAACGTTAGCTATGGACTACTCTGTGAGAATTCATTAGTTCGTATTTTATACTTTAGACACAAATTAGAACAAGGTCGCTCAGTGATCTCTGGTTTTTAAGATGGCTTTAGGTGATCCAAACTACTAATACACCGAACTAGTCTTCAAAAAGCTTCTTTATAAATAACACATTCGTTACTGTTCAATCATACTTACTGGCACAATTTCCCTGACAACTGTCAATCTCGCTGAGGTTCATGAATCAACAAAAATCAGTTGTTTGAATAAATGGTTAGTGAAAAACAAGTTCTTACTTTATGTTAAGTGATGAGACCCAAACCCTTAAGCTAGATTTCACGTTAGTTGAAGTTAGTTAACAAGAGTTCTTTTAATTTTTTTGATAATCAATATACTTCGAGAGGTTTGAGGTAAATATTATTATCATAGTCGGGGAAGTTTTATATCTTACCTTTGAAGTTAAACATTTATAGGTCATACTTCGTGTTTACTGCTTTAGATGTGAAGACATTATACACTAGGCTAAAGAGTTATGGAAGTCACCATGTGTTCACCGGTTATGGAACGCTTTGTCAATTGGTAGGGTTTTTAGCTTGCAGTCGTTTACATTCATGATCGAATTCACGACCAGTTTCTGTTTATCACATGGATCTCTCGAATGAGTGCCTTGATATTTTCTGTACTTACACGTTTTCTGTACTCCTCACAGTAGTTAACAATGGAAAAGTCAATAATGCGATGTCGATACGTTCATTCAATAAGTACTGTAATGTAAAGAAACACCAGTAAACCTTAACACTCGCTTGTAGATTGTGATATCTTTATCACTATCATATTCCAAAAAATACTGACCAGTTTGTTTCCGAATATTAAAGAAGAGGAAACGTAAAACGTCATTGTCATAGAGTTCAAGTGCGTTCAGTTGAGAAGTACTGATTAGGTAGAAACGTGTTTGGTGGAGTCCACTGCTAACCAGTGTTTAAAAGATGCTAATTTTCTTTCACATCTAAGCAAACAGATCTTTTTCTTTTACTGAAGTTATTACAAATTTTAGTCCCCTAAACAGCCCTTGAGAACCAAGCATTTCCAGAAAAGTGACTGGCTTTTGGTCCAATTACAGTTAAAACGTCAGTTGAGCACTGACAGAATATTTTAAACAATGATAAAATGATTGTAATTTCAAATTAATACTGAGTTTACTCCTTCTTATTTGCATTCGATGATTTGTTATCAGTTAAGGTGGACTGTGATTTCAGGTCACATAGGCTAGTGGATACACTGAAACCTGATCAACTTTTTATCAAGATTAGAAAATCTATGAATTGACTAATAGTCAGTGAGCAGTCTGTGTAAATATCTCGGTCATAGAGAGGGTTAGTCACGACCCAACTAGCAGTATCTGCAACTTTGACATTAATTGTTTCAGTTCCATCAAGACTGCATATATGCCTTGTTGATGAGTCCTAACCTATAATAAATTTTGGTCGATTGAAGGCTTCTCTCAGATTATCTCCAAGGTCCTAACATTAAATAATAGTGCACACAATATTAGATTACATGGACTAATGACAACACTGAAACTTAATTAATTTGCAACTTGTTCAGTATTAGCGGCTTGACAACAAAAGAATGAAACGTACACGTTGGCAAGTTTATCATCTATATGTAGAGAAACTTGGTAAAAAAATATAATATTTGGAATCATAATTATATGGGCTCTCTAAACACATCATATTACGAGTAAGGAAACAAAACTGAAGAATACCAACATCAGTAAAACAACAAATAACATTTTTACCGAATAAAATTTTCTAACGCATAAACGGAAAAAAAAGAAGGAATAATGTCCCTTAGTCTCATCAGAATAAGTTACTAGTAAGAGCTATGATGAAAAATCTTCGGTATTGATAAACTCAAACACATAAATATTCACATGTACGTGTACAAAAAGATATAATTAGTTTAATATCAGAAGGGGCTTTTTGTGGATGATAAAGTAATTTTAATAGTTGAGATCATGAGTCAATTGAAATTAGACCCCTATGGAAAACCTGGAAGCACTGGACGGCCGATTTGTCCTTCTGTGGGACTCCTCAAGAGTGCGCATTCACGATCCCGCCTCTCAAGATTCGGACCCAGGACATATAAGACTTGCGCAAGAGCTCTTAACCTATAGACCACTGAGCTGGCCGGCATCCAATAGTGTTAATGTCTGACTTCAACTAATCCACGGGATTGAGTTTAACCGGGTCTGTTGTGAGATAGTAACTCACTGAAGACAATGGTGGATGTGT